GGGGTATCGTTTACTTGATTGTTGGTCTGAAGGTGATGATGTTACCTAGTTAAGGTAATGAAGCGTCTGCAAGAAAACAAGCAGGCTCAGAGAGCACCAATGACCCCTCATTGTAAGTGAAGTGTTTCACTATTCCCTTAGACCACTCAGTGGAATTTCCAGGCTGACTTGCTTAGTCCGCATCCATTAAAGGAAAACTGTATTACGGTTTTTCTAAATTTCATATGCATTTTTCCTGTTTTTTTCTTGCTAGTGTCAGAATTCTGGCTGTTGGTTTTTTTTGGGGGGGGGCAGCTGCCTTTGGCTTTTGTTTAAGTGCTTATTTCAGAACCACACATGTAGAGCTCAAGCTAACTACTTTATTATTATGATGACCCAGGGCACAGCACAGAGGCAATGCAGTCAGCTGGCAATTCAAACCGCCCTTTAATTGCTTCAAATTTTCCCCAAATGCTCCCATGTTTCTGGCAAGCCCCAGAACAAAGTAAGACACACACACCTTCAGCAGCCTCTGGCTGCAAGTAGTTTCACATACAGTCTAATTAGGAGAGGAATTTACTCAAGGCCATGGAGATAAGAAAGAATGACACATACATCATAAACCTAACAAGTCTGTGTGAATACACGCTTGCCTGAACAGTTTCAGAAGGGAAGCCAAAATACAGTCCGAGATCTATAAAGCAACGTTGTCAGCCAGTCCAATGGTCAGAGTTTCCAGGTTTCCAAGCAGAAGTCACAGAACAAGAGATCAGCAACAACAACACACAAAACTCCAAGGAATCAGCGTTTGTTCCCAACAAATGCCTCTCCCCACAGTGTCTCCTTAAATCGCATTTTTCAGGTGTGCCTTGTGGAGAGGGGCGGGATGCTCTCCTCCCGAGTAGTTGAGCCTGCTTGCGCTGTTCCCTCCTTCTCTCCACTCTCCGTGCTCTAGGATCAGGTGGGGTGGCCCTTGCTCATCGCCTGAACTCTGTCTCTCCTGCTCAGCCTGTCCCACTCCTGAAGGGCCCTGGCCTGCCTCGGCCTGCTCTTCCCCACATTCCTCTGAAGCCACAGACACTTCTCCCTTGACCTCCATAGGGTCCCGTTCCAGCTCATTTTCCTCCGCAGATTCAGGCTCCTATGGAAGCATGACAGTTATGTTCTATCTATAATAGAGGAATCTTCTTGTTCTAGAAACCCACTCTTGGAACGTTAGATAAGACTCCAAGGAACTGGGGGTCGGGGGCTGGTCCTAGCCTTTTTGCTGGTTGCACCATGACTCCAGGCTAGCTCCACGCTTGACCCTTCTCTCTGCCAGACTGGATAGTTCCCAACACTTGCATAAATATCAGATTGGTTTTGCTCAGATTTGTATTAGATTCAGAGGTGAAGTTTTTTTCACTGGTGGGTTTGCTGTTAACAAGTTGGACTACCAGTACCTGTATTGTTATCCACACATTTTTGCTGTGGCTTTGGGAATAGCACACTTAAGTAAGAGCAAGAGCTGCAGTTTTCTTGGCAAGTACAAGTACCGTTTAGCCTGATCTGGAGAATTAGATATGCAAGCAATGGATTCCATAGCATCTGTATGCTCCTGCTGTGACATAGCCATCAAATATTTAGTGTGAAGAATTATAGACTAAAAGATCTGTTGCCTATTGAAGAAGGAGTTCTCTCGGCATCTCATATTCCAGGTGGAATTGAAGGGACGTGAAATTTGAGTCTTTTTGTTCGTTTCAAAATTTAAAAACAATGGAGTATGTCCACCAGTATCTCGGATCAACACCCATGGAGTTACCTTTTTTATATCCCTGGAATTAACATGGCAAGAAAGTACTCCCTGGAGTCCAGTGATTCTGTAAAGTCATCCAGAGAATTTGATGGTTAAGCAAAAACATGGAATATGTTGTGTTTCATCAGGGCATTAGCAAAGGTTCTAAAAGGTCATGAACTGAGACTTAGATATAACTATCCGCTCTTTAAAAAAAAGCTATCCTGAGCAAAGAGATGCATAAAATACTATCTCACAGGCATTCAGATGTTTGCACTGTAATCCAGATCTAGTAGCTTTTGATTTGCCTGATATGAAACATGGTATTGAAATGTAATCAGAATTATTAGTTGCACAGTCTTAAGTCAATAGTTGCCCAGGTATGTCCTGAGAAATTAAGAGTTCCTTAAGCCCAAACACTCCCTATCATAGAAGAATTTTCTATAGTTTATACCAGACATGTCAAACACAAGCCGCAGGGGCCGAATGCGGCCCGCGAAGTGGTTTCATGTGGCCCGCAAAGCCATTCTGGAAACAGTGAGGGAACGGCCCCCTCTGCCTTGGCCCTGGCCCAGGCCGGCCGGGAGCCAATGTACAATTTTGTGGTGGCCATCTATGCTGAAACGCATTCAGTCTTAGCTCCACAAGGCTGTCTGGAAACAGCGAGGAACCAGCCCCTGCCGCGTCGGCCCTGCCCCCTGGGTGCATGGCTGGGGAGGTGTCACCCTTTGTGAGGAATGAAGAAATGGACCATGCCTTGGCGCTTGCCCCGGTCCCATCCCCTTCTGCCAGAGACCCTCAGATCTGTCCCACTCCTGCCCAGGCCCCCACAGGCACCATTGACGCGAACGATGTAGAGCTGGCCATGCCCAACCAGTAGGCCGCACCCACCCTGGCCACACACACACACCCCGCCGCCCCCGAGGGCAACCACAATGCTGATGCGACCCTCAATGAAATTGAGTTTGACACCCCCCGGTCTATACATTTCCATGTGAATCATTGCTCTGATCATTTTGTCTAGGCTGAATTGTTCAGTTGCCAATAACACAGAGGAGGCTGCTTGTTATATCTTAGTGCGATTCCTGGTCTGGCCTTCTGAGTGTCAAATATGAATGGCCATTTATTCATCCATATTTTTTCCTAATTTTTAATCAAAAATCTCCCAGAATATGGGAAATGAATTCTAGTTGGACTATTTGTCTGGTCCAATATTATTTATTTTAACAGGCAATGGCTCCCCAGGATATCATGCTAAAGAAGGGGCTTCTGTCTTGCTACCTAAGCCGTTTCACCAAGGGAACCTATGACTGTGTTTAGAGCTTATGCTTTAGAACAGTGTTTCTCAACCTTGACAATTTTAAGGCATGTGGACTTCAACTCCCAGAATTCCACAGCCAGCAATGCTGGCTGTGGAATTCTGGGAGTTGAAGTCCACATGCCTTAAAATTGTCAAGGTTGAGAAACACTGCTTTAGAACAGAGTCCACATGCCTTAAAATTGTCAAGGTTGAGAAACACTGCTTTAGAACAGAGCTGTGTGCTCTTTCCTGAAGTTTGAAAAATTCTGTCTTAAAATTTATGTTACTTTCCCTGACTTGTAATTCTTACTGAGGGTGTGTAAAGCTTGTATTTCTTTATCTGGCCTTTCACCAATCTCTTCACATGCTTCAGTAAGTTGATAGGACAAAATCCTGTGATTGAAAGCATTTTCCAAAAGGCAAATGATGGGAGAGTCCATAGTGTTGGGTGTGGTTGGCAGAAATCTGAAAACCATTTTGGCCGAGTCAGATAACAGTATAGTTGGATTAACTGCAAGTTTGTATAATCCTCCCAACATTCTGCAAGCCTGAGAATGAAGCATTGGAAAAGAGCTGCCAACAATCGAAAGCCCACAATTGCTCCTTCAGTACTTCTTAATTTCAGTTCCAAATACTTTAGTCGGTTGTGGAGAAGGGTTGAGATTTGTTTAGCGTCTAAAATGAACGTTGTGCATTTTTTTAAACTACATGTTAAGTCAACTTTATTAATGTATTCCTTGGATAATTTCGTGGCAAAGGTAGGTTTTCTAATGAAGAACCTTCCTGGAAGCACCACATTACTGGCCACAGCCCTAGCACAACTACCTGTAATATAGTACAGGTAGTTCTCGGTTTTCAAGCATAATTGGGACCAGGCAGAGGCGTAGTGTGGGGGGTGCAGGGGGGGCCGGCCGCACCGGGCGCAACATCTGGGGGGGGCGCGCTCGCACTCGCAGCTCTCTGCCCCTGCCTGTGCGAATCCGAGCCGAGCCGCCGGGTCGCCGCCCACTGTGGAGGGGGGGCGCAAATTACTTGCCTTGCCCCGGGTGCTGACAACCCACGCTACGCCACTGGGACCAGGAACTCCCTCACTAACCAATACGGTCATAAAATGAAAAATCACATGACTGCACCAACTTGTAACAGTAATTCCAGCAGTTTGGGCAATTCTAGTTATAATAAGCAAATCATGTACAATTGTGCAGCATTACATGATCGCGGTTTGCAGCTTCCTGCTGGCTTTCCCCATTTGCTCGTGTGATAGCCATTAGAGAAGGTCATAAATGTCAATCACATGATTGCAGGACACTGAAGCCATCCTAAATGCTCATTGGTTGCCAAGCATTCGAATCATCAAATGACCATAGGAACACTGTGACGGCCACAACTTTGAGGACTGGTCAGAAGCCTCTTTGTTTAGTGCCATCGTAACTTTGAAAAGTCAGTGATGAGAGATCTCTAAGTGAGGACTTTTGGTAAGATCATATTTTTCCTATCCTGCTAACTAAGATTACTAGACTAAGCCATGATTTGACATCGGCAGTCACCCAGTTCTGGCTGCCTTCTTCCATTCCCTTGTTGAAAAGCAAAAAAAGAGTATGAGTTTATATAGGTAATTAGATATTTTAATCGCACCTAGTGCAGAAAATTTTAAAGTCACCTATCCTTGCTGGAGACAGTTTACTCTCTTTGTGAGAGGATTTCTAATGCTGAGTTTCTTGATATTTGGAAAAATTTGCAATATCAGAATTAATCATAGAGATAACAGACAAACTCTTAAAGACAGCAGTCCTGCTGCATTTCAGTATAGAAATTGTTATCTGTGTGCTTAGGGCAGCCAAACTTAATATTTGTGCATTGTTTTATAGCTATCAGTAATTTGGGTAGTTCTGGCTTGATTGAAACCTATTTATAACCAATGATCTCACTTTTCTTTTTCTTTTCTAGGCAAAGTACATTTCTCAATGCATTGATGAGATCAAACAAGAATTGAAGCAGGATAATATTGCTGTGAAAGCAAATGCTGTTTGCAAACTCACCTATGTGAGTATTTTCTTCATTGATTGGAGAATGTCCTAAGACAGAACATTGAATGATCCAGAGTTGTTCATTGATATATTAATAGCATTTTATTTCTTGGAAAACCTGGTAAAAGATGTGATTGCTTTGTGGTTGAGCTATTGCAGTGCATTCTATATGTGTCTGCCTTTGAAAAGCATTTAGAAGCTATACTGGTACAGCACATATCAGTACAAGCAGTGATGGATGGGTAGCCATGCAGTGCCTGCGTTCTGTGTGCTGCCTGGTTACCAGTTGACTTCCTGGTGCAATTCAAAGTTAAGATTGTTAACTTTGATACTTTAAATGGCATAGGGCAGTGGTGGCGAACCTATGGCATGTGTGCCAGAGACGGCACTCGGAGCCCTTTCTGTGGGCACACGCGCCGTTGCCCCAGCCTTGCCTCCCCCCACAACCCCCTCCTCACCAGCAGCCCCCCTCGAGGAGAGTCACCCCCAAGCATGGCCCACGTGGAGCAGCGCAGCCAAGGACATGGCAGCCAGGCAGCGTAGACAAGACTCTGCTCTCATGCCCCATCACGCACAGTTGATGCTGCGGGGTGCGGGCAGAGGGCATGGCCGCCATGGCGCTGCTGGGCTGCCTGGGCGATCTGCGGCAGGCCCTGGAGGCGGTGAGTGACCCTGCGGATAGGCAGGGGGTGGAGCATGGCCAGTTTTTAGGCACTCTGTCTCTAAAAGGTTCGCCATCACTGGCATAGGGCCTATTTATTTAAGCAACCGCCTATCTACTATGATTTCTGCCCATCCTGTAAGATCTGGCAGAGTTGGCTCTCTCTGGGTCCTGTCAATTAAGATTCTTTTAGACTCGCTAGGTTAAAGCTAATCAGCTATATAAGTGACTAAGTTTGCCCAACTTCCTTGTGTTTAATCATTTCTCCTTCAATCATTTTAAAAATACAGTTTGGCAGCAACTTTTGAAAGATATCTAAGGGAGAAATGTTACGTGGCCATATAGTTTGATTTGTAATAGTTTGTTTTAATCTGGATTGCCTATGGGGTTGTATGTTTTTAATGGTCTTTATTATTTTTAATTTATATTTATAAGAAGCTCAGTCTATAGAAGTGGGCAGCTATAATAAATTTCAAGTAATAATAATATGCAGTCCCCTTAATTTAGAAGCTTCTGTTTTATATTGATTGTGTTCTTTTTTATGTTTTGGCATGGCTTTTGGTTATAAATATAAAGACATGTATGTCATATGATATCCTTCACTCTAAGCATCATTATGCGAAGCCCAGGAAAGAGTAAGAAGAGTAAGAAATATAGCAAAAGAAACTAATGGAATGAAGAATGAATAAAAGGAAACCACCAGCACCATACACACACACACACACACACTTTTCCATTGTTGCAAACCATCCTTGCTTCCACCACATTCGTATACTTCTTCATATATTGCCTTTTACAAGTAGTTTGTGAATTAGGATGACAATTGGAGCCAGAATTTCCATCGCTAAATAATGCAGTTGAAAAGTGTGACATCACATGACCACATCGCTTAGCAATGGTAATCCTTGCATTCCTAGTTGCTGTCATTAAGCAAGGATTTTAGATTGTTAAACAAGCTCCTACTTGCAACTTTCTACGTACAAGATAATTTCATTATCATAAAATCAGCAGAAGCTTACTCTAATATATACAAATGTCTCCTTTTTTCAAAAAATATTATTGTAGCAAACTACTTTTCTACTAGTATTTACATGACTTAAAATTAATATGTTATTCCACCTGGTAAAGCAGTGGTCCTCAACCTTTGTGGCTTGGCCATCTGGCTGTGGAGGGATAGGGGAACCAGGCCATGCGAGCGGTGGAGCGCCACGCATGCACATACAGCTTGTCTTGCGCAAGTTGAGCTGTGTGTGCAGGCACGCAGGCCCTCTGCTTGTGCAAGCCAAGTTGCACACACAGCCCAGTTACGAATAGGCCATGGCCCAATAATGGGCTGTGGCCCAGGGGTTGGGGACCCCTGTACTAAGATACACAAACTCACCTTTTTATTCTAGATTTTCTTTTCTATGTGTATAAAAATAGTCGGCCCTGTATTTCCTTTCTAGTTTTCATACCCACATGTTCTGTTACCTGTGAATTCCTAATTTCATATGCACCAGAACAATGTAGATTATGCAAATTCATTCTTTTCTGACATACATTTTCATCCTTTCATTCATAATTAAATCCACACCTTCACTTTATGTATTGTAAATACATATGTATTAATAGATAATAAACAATACATGTATTAATCACTCTATAAGCTCAGACTGTTTCCCAACCATGTAACACTTTTATTTTTTATTTATTCATTAATTGATGTTTTTACAATTTATTCCTTTTTTATTACAAGTTAGAATTCTTCATATGCCATAGTTGTCAGCTAATGAGCGCTTAAACATTGACCATCATCCCAGCTCAGCTAACTATAAAGACATTATTGAACAGTTTGAGTCCATCTTGGTCAGTATGCCAGAAGGACAACCTAAGCACAGCTTTATTCAGGATATGCTTACATTGCTCTGTGCAAACTTAAGTTTCTGATGTAGAGGCTATCTTGCAACCAGAATATGTGGCCCATAACTCAACGATCAGAAAATATTCCTATATAGACTCAGGTTAAAATATTCAGGCAATTATTTTATGCATTAAAATATATCTGAACTTTGATTTGTCCCTTGTTTTGAGATTAATGCCTTGTTTCTCCTCCCACATCTCATCCCTTTAATAGTTGCAGATGCTGGGGTATGATATCAGTTGGGCAGCATTCAACATCATTGAAGTCATGAGTGCATCCAAGTTCACTTTTAAAGTAAGTGGTCTATATGAAAGTTGGAGTGTTAGAAACCATCAAGAATTGTTGTTACTGAGGACTTTAAATTCTGTGCAGAACGACCTTTGGTTGTCGAAGCTGGGACCATAACAGTTTGTTTCTCCAGCACTGGAGATGGAGGATCCACCCATGGGTAGTAGACTGTATTCCTGCCCAATCAGATTAAGTCAGCCAAAGTTGCCACGCCCGTCCTGGACCATAGATTCCCAGTCTTGACTTAATCTTGCCCATGGACGGACGTACAACTCTGGCTCTTAGGCAGGTATAGTCTTGATCATTGGTGAATCCTCCAC